CATAAATCAATTTTCTGAGCTGACACACCTTACCAGGAGAAGAAGTAATGCCCTGAGGCATGGACATGTAAACCTCTTCGTGCAAATCCCCATGGAGAAATGCATTATTCACGTCTAGCTGTTCAACAATCCAGTGACGAGCAGTAGCAATGTAAAGCAACACGCGGATAGTAGTCATCTTAGCTACAGGGCTGAAAGTATCAAAGTAATCCACCCCTTCAAGTTGGGTGTAACCCTTAGCAACCAGCCGTGCTTTACAACGTTCAACTGAACCATCAGCCTTATATTTCACTTTATAAACCCATTTACACCCATTGGTGTGTTTCCCAGGAGGGAGGGAAACTAAATCCCATGTGTGATTAAGTTCCAAGGCAGAAATCTCAGCTGCCATGGCATGCTGCCAGCAGGGAAGCTTGGAGGCTTCATTGTATGATTTTGGTTCTGTTATAGTTGTGACATTGAGGCAAAATTGGGTGTATGCAGGAGAACATGAGTCATATGATAAAACAGAAGAAAGAGGGTAAGGTGTACCTGAGGAAGATTGGTTGCTGGAAACAACATTGTTGCAGTGAAAGTCAATGAGGTATCCTGGATGCCTTCGAATACGGGAAGACCTGCGAGTAGGGATGGGGGGACAAGGATTCTGGACAGAGACAGTAGGAACACATGTCTCAGGTTCAGGAACAGGTGTAGGGAAAAGAGCAGGTTTGGGAAATATGTCTTCAAATAAGTATTGAGAAGAGGTGGAAAGGATAGGTGAAATAGGGGTGGGAATATCTGTAAAAGGGAATACCAATTCATAGAACTCTACATTTCTGGATAAGAAAATGCGTTGAAAAGATAATTCAAGAAGAATATGACCTTTGGTACCCTCCTGATAACCAAGGAAAATGCATTTGTGTGCTCTAGGTGCAAATTTGGATCTATGGGATTGCAATGTAGAAGCATAGGAAAGGCATCCAAAAGTTTTAAGGTGGTCAAATGAAGGTGGTTTCTGGTATAGAGTTTCATATGGGGTGCTGTATGATAAAAAAGGAGTGCAGAGTCTGTTGATTATGTGTGTAGATTGTGAAAGGGCATAGCACCAGTAAGGTTGTGGGACTTTTGATTGAAAAATTAAAGCACGGGCGACATTCATAAGGTGTTGGTGTTTCCTCTCAACAATGCCATTTTGTTGAGGAGTTTCTACACATGTAGTTTGATGTAAAATTCCTTTGTGTTTGAAATAATCATGCATTAAGAACTCTGGTCCATTATCAGTTCGGATGGTTTTTATTGTGGTTTGGAACTGATTCTCATGGAAAGTTATAAACTGTTGAATGGATGCCCGAACATCAAATTTGTGTTTGAGAAAAACTAGCCAAGTGTAGCGTGAGTAATCATCGACAATCGATAAAAAATATCTATGGCCATGTATTGAAACTACAGAAGCAGGTCCCCATATATCCATATGCAACAATTCAAATGGACTTTTTGATTTACTAGTACTCGAAGGAAATGACAGTTTGCGTTGCCTAGCATAGTGGCAAATGTCACAAGGTGATACAAGCTTATATGGAATAACAGGAAATTTAGAAGACATATGTTTTAAAGAGGTTGGTGATATATGGCCTAGTCTTAGGTGCCAAAGGATGTGATCACTGCTACTAGTCTTAATGCTAGAATGACAGGAAGCATTATTATTAGAAATGGCTGTATCTTGTATCGGGGAGACATCCAGGATGTAGAGACCTCCATGTTGTTTAGCTGTACCAATCTTCCTCCTGGTAGGCTCCTGTTTGATGTAACAATGGTTATTAGAGAAAATCAGATAACAAGGTAAGGTGGAAAGGAGTTTGTTCACAGAAATCAAGTTGACACAGAATTGTGGTACATACAGTACATCATACAGAATCAAATCATTGGAGAAATAAATATTTCCTGCATAAGAAGCCATAACCTTCGAACCATTTGGTAAATTAATGGAGACTGGGTTTATTTTATGGAATGAGGCAAGATTATAACATGAGCAAGTAATGTGATCAGTTGCGCCAGTATCAAGGATCCAGCGCAACTGTCTACCTGCTAATTCATTAGTGTCAGCACTCAATATGGAACTTTGGACAAGGTTAGCATGAGCAGAATCCTTTGGTGATTGCAAAGCTTGCATCAGATCGTGAAACTGCTGAGAGGAGAGAGTGACAGCTGAACTATCATTACTGTTGACAACAGTTGATCCCTCATTACAGTTGGTTTGAACTACTGTATTTGCAACCTGAGCCTTCTTTGGTCTATAGCCTGGAGGAAAACCATGTTTAAAGTAACAGGTTTCCACAGTGTGATTAGTCATCTTGCAATGCACACAGAATTTTGAATCTCGACCACGTCCCCTGCCTCCAGTATATGAAAAACGTCCACGACCTCTATTTGCAGCATAACCTCTTCTGTTATCATCAGTTTCATTAAAGAAAACTTTAGAGTTCTCATCTGATGTGGAATTGAAATGGAATTCCCTTTCTTGTTGGGACAGTAATGAAAAAACTTTATTAACATCAGGTAGAGGATTCAGGAGCATGACTTGAGATCGAACATGAGCATACTGCTCATTTAATCCTTTTAAGAACCGAATTGTGTAGTCTTGATCTCTTCTAGTACGAATCTCAGCAAGAGCAGGACAAGTACAGAGGATATCACATTTGCACGAAGGCAAAGGCCCCAGGTTATCGAGTTCATCACATAAACCTTTCAAATTGGTGAAATAGTCAGCAATAGTTCGATCTCCCTGTCTCAGCTTATATACATCTTCTTGCAGATCAGAGATTCTAAACATGTCTTCCTGGGAGAATCGTTCCTTCAAGTCTTTCCATGCATCACTTGCACGATCAATCCATAGGATAGACTGAAGAACAGATGTAGAAATAGAACGGTGGATCCAACCTAACACAGTGGTGTTGCATCGTTGCCATGCATTGTAAGAATTATCCATTTCTGGTGGTGGTGGAAGACTGCCATCGATAAAACAGGTTTTATTCTTTGACAGCAGCGCCATAGACATAGCTCTAGACCACATGTGGTAGTTCTTTCCATCGAGTGGTGTTGAAACTAAAGCTTGTGAGGGATTTTCGTTGGGATGGAGATAATATGGATGTGATGAGTTGGTAAGGAAATCGAAAGACAAATTTTGATTCGCCATTGAAGAACTTCTTCAAGAAGTGTATGAAGAAAAGTTAAGAAAGGTTGGCTGTGAATCAGAGCTTCTCGAGAAGCTCTGATACCATCTTATGAATGCAAAAACTGTATATTCTCATATATTGAAAAAGTGTGTAATCCAATAATTACATCACCTATTTATACATGCAATGCATAAAGCTTATGATACACGCTCAAGCTATACAATGTGTAACAGAAACTGTAACTGCTCTCCGTGATTCTTGGAATTGTTGGAACTGATTGCAATATATCAGTTATGGTTCACAGTAGCTTCTAATTGCTCCACGTCAGCTTTTATATTCTGCAACATCATGTCTATGGTTTGGTTCGATGAAATGTCAATTCTGACATGTTTGAAATCTTTCTGGCATGGAGTTCGTTGAGCTTTCCATAACACGATCCAATCATTTTACTGATTTGCATTTAACTATTGATGGAGGATTTTAGGGACTGAGTTGTTCATTTTTTAATGATTAAGCCTTATATTCCAGTAAGTTGTATTGTATCTCACTGTGTGTTCATGTCAATGATTATGGTATTCAGTTTTTAAAGTGGAAATAATGTGGTTAGTCCTTCTATTCTAGCTGTCCACACAGGTTTGTGCCTTGATGGACACACTAAATACTAACTTGTGGGACTTCTTCTACACAAGGCTTTTCTAGTATTTATCAATTCAATCTATTGTTAACTGCATTTACTTGGGTGAATAAGTTGAACGAGTTATTTTTCTCTGTATTTCTATTTACTTAGAGGTCAGTGTTGCCAACTTGTTTGCTCATTTTGTCTCTGATTATATAAAGGTCTTGGTTGGCCCAAGTTTGTAGTTAAATTGTTTTGGGTGACACACAGAGTCAGAAGAATTTTGTGAGGATGAATCAGAATTTTGTGAGGACAGGGACTCCTTCGGTGGCTTGGTCCTGTGGTCTTTATCTTCTCTCTTCTTGCAGGTGCGCCTCCATTGTCCACATTATCTATAAGCCTAATCTTGTAAGCTTTTCTCACTAACTCTTTCTTGGCCTTCTCTTTAGCAGCTTTTTGATTCAGTGTTATGAGTTAAATATGCAGGTATATATGTGTGTTTTATTTCTTGTAAGTAGGAATTTTGAATGCTTCATATTTGTTATATAACATATAGGGAGGTATAAAACCTATATCATTTGAAATATCATTATTAACTCTATAACACAAACAAAACCACTGTTTGATTGAAAATTCATATTGGAGGAAGATTACGTCCAAGATGATAACTGGATCTAAGATCTTTATCAAGTGAATTGACAAAACTAAAGAATTTATCGATAAGATGGACAAAATGAATAAACTTAAAAAAAAAAGAAAAATTAATAGAAGTTATAAAATTTTCCTGTTTTCTTCTATGTAAAATGCATAGGTTCCAAACATAACTTATCAAAAATTAAATTGTGCAAATACCACATGCAAAGGAATTTCAATAAAAAAATATTAAATCTTCCTTACCTCCATTAGGATGAGTCTCAATTAAATTAGTACTTGACAAAGTTCATTTAGAGTGAACTTGTCTCTTCTATAAACTAAGTAAATGTATATCTACTCTTAAATTTCAATAAGTTGAAATTAAAATCCTTACTTATTCACTTTTAAAACAACATTTTCATTAGAGCCTTGCTAAGTTTCTATGGAGATTGGTTTATCCAAAGACAAACCAATATTAAGGCCACTTTATTTCAATTTAGCTTACCCACCCTCCTTTTCCCAAAACTAATCTTGCACCTCCTTTATTAGATATAGTGTAACAAAATAATAACTCTGGTTCTCAATATATTTTTTCTCGTTTGCTTTTGTGTGGGGAGTGGGGACCAAAGGAAAAATGTTTAAATATCAGTTTAACTTCTAAAAGCAGAGTGATTAAAATATAGTACAGACAGCTACTGATTGAAATATAGTAATATACAACTTCAAACGCATCAACGACATGAGCCCAATATACAGAAACTTGCACAAATTCATCTTCACATTTTAACACTCATAAAACATCCCGAGAGACACGAGCTATATTTTTTACAACAAATCAATGTCTATCTTTTAAGAACCATAGGATGATCTTTTTCTACAATCACCCACTGTACACCCTGAGACGACTGGTGATCCTCTCTCTGCATATGGGACAGTTAGTTAACCTGGATCCACAATCTCTGCAAGTCTGCGTTCCAAAATATTATTAAAAGTTAACAACAATAAAAACTAACAACACTAAGGGAAATGAGACAATGAAGTTAATGAGGCTAGCTCACCATGTGCCCACATCCAAAGGCCAAATCCTTTCCATTGGTCAGACAAATAGGGCAGACCTACATAATTCCATTGGTTATGGCACAAAAATAATCATCAAGCAACTTCAAAGTTGACAGAAAAATAAAATCTTGTTCCATCAATAATGGGCCTTTTCACCATAATGACAGAAAAATCAAATCTTGTTCTATCAATAATGCGTAACATAAAGGTGTGAGTGTTCAAGTCGTGCATGGAAAAGTTGCACGACTTATGGCACATGTTACATGGTAGGCGCGCATGCGCAAGTTGCGCACCTCCCTTGTGCACGCGTGACTTGAACGTATACACTCGTACGCATCTCACTTCATAATTTTGATAAAATATTTGGATTTTGAATCAATCTGATAAAATATTTTCCTTTTCAGATCAAATGGATCAAAAGGCCTCAATAATGCTATAGTAATAGCAATTTTTGTATAGCATTTCTTATACTTATTAAGATGATAGTTGTTGTAGGTTTGTTTTTCTCTACCCTGTATACTTGTACTCCAAAAAAAAACAAATCTATATGTTCTCTTGTACCCAGGTTAACATATTAAACAGTGATAAAGGACAAAAGGGCAAATCTCGATGTACAAGGCTCTCCCAAGAGTAGAGGCTAGGGTCAATTGTACGCACTCTTATCCTTACTTCTTTGCAAAGAAAATAATTCCCTAACTTGAACCCATAACCTTTCAATCATAAAAAATAATCTTACCGCTATTCTAAGGCTCGCCCTCTGCATACTAAACAGTGATAGAGGAGATACTTTACTGAAGCACTCTAGGTTTCAGTTATACATACCGCTTGGTTTTGCTCATCTGCTGTGGATGCTGGCGTATTGCTTGGTACACGAGCTGGTGGAGCAGCCCGAGAATAAGGAATAGGAGGAGGTTTTGGAACTATTCTCTTTGCTCTTCCTGTTACACGTCTGTTGTCCAAAGACAGTAGAAAATGTTAATCATAAACCATCAAATTCTACCAAATAGTCACTTGAAAGACAACCATTGTTTCAAGGAAAGATGTCATCAGAATGAATCAAAGTACATTATAACTCTTCACTTTTCAGTTTTCAATTTTCATCTAGTAAAACTTAGACTAATGCATAAGGATCATACCCGAGTATTCCAGATTCCATGGTTGCTTTATATTGGAATGGGATTTCCATGAGAGCAGCCAAAGCAAAAGCTGCTTCTTTCTCAGAGGGGCTAGTGTTTTTAGACATAATGCCAGTAAAATTAACAAACTGCAAAACAGGGGAAATATGCTTCAATGTGTCAAAGTGATGCAAAAGAATACAAATAGGTTATGCCACTCAATTTTCTGATACTGTTGCTATACCTGAAAATTGTCAAAATCACGGGCTGGTAACTTGTCATCAAACTTTTTCATGTCTTCCCAAGGTCCATCACCAACTCCAACCAGAACTATCGCAAGCGGGTATGCACTGGTATCAGAAATTAAGAAATACAAAATAGATATCAATGTTACTAACCAGATGCATGTTCTTATTAAAAAAAGAGAAACATTGGGAACAAGACAATGATACTTCTGTTGCAGCTGAGGTTAGCTTCCGTGTTTTTGCTCAAGCTATAATTATCAATTAGCTATATCTACCTTGCATCAACGATAGCCTTGATTGTCTTTTCTTCTTGAGGACTGAGTTCTCCATCTTCAGTGTTGACACTTCTTGTAACCTTAAAGCCAAACAAATTTTTATAAATAAGATTTGAGAAACATGCATATGCACATGTAGTGGTAAAATTTTATACCTGTCCATCTGCAATGAGAACTAACACGTGGAATTGGCCACGACTTTTCTCAACTATGTCTATTGCAGCCTCAATTACCGGAGCATAAGAAGTTGGTCCTTCAAACAAAATGCAATTATTCCTTCAGCCATGAATCTTAAGCAAAAGACTACAAGCATGCATAGATGTTTTTCAACAAAAAGCAGTATTCATCTAAAGATTACAGTATATTAGGGGCATGCATGGTTCAGTTCGTTTTGTTTTTTCATACCCGACCGGAAATGTGGTTCGATTTAGGCGAACCAAACCAGTTTTAAAAAGTGGTTTAGCACTTGAACCGGTTCGGAGAAAATAGTTTAGTTTTAAACCGATTCAAAAAAATATGGTGCAATTTAATTTGGTTTGCGGTTCAATTTGGTATATTCAATTGTTTTATGCTCCTAAGAATGCGTATGGTTTGGTTTAGTTCAGTTTTTAGCCCGAACCGAACCGAATTGGTAAAGTGATTTGGTTCTTAAACCAAATCGTTTTTGAAAACCAGTTCGGTTCTTGAATCAGTTCAAAGAAAATATGGTTTTTTTTTATTCAGTTAGGATTAGTTCACTATTCAATTTGGTTTATTTGCACATCCCTACAACATATTGAACACATTGATTGCAATATGAACAACACTATATAAAAAAGTAAAGATGAAAAAATGACCTGAAAGTTTCAAGTTTGGAACTATTTTTTGGTAGCAAGACAGAACTTCCTCAAAGCCATGGCAAGGTGAATGATCACTGTGAAAGCTGAACACTTCTTGATCATGGGTGGTAGCTGTGTAATGATAAAAGTTGAGCCAGATGTTAAATTGGAGAAACTATTAACTTTCTTTTGTGGATATTCTGCTTGAAGTATTAGGCCTTACCATCACCAAAGCCAAAACATGGAATCAAGTTGTCATCATCAAAGGGAGCCAAAGTCTTGCCAATGATAGATATAGCCTTCTCATAAGGGTTAGGAGTATCTCCGATCGCATGCAAGCTTCTATTATTGAATGAGATTTTGCCTTTAATAAAAACATGGATGCATTGACTTCATAGATTAACAGTCAGAAAGAAATCATTCAAAAAAAAAAAAAAAAAAAATTTATAACCAGAACCCATATTTTACAGTCAAGCCAGAAACCATCTATGGCCAACTTTAGCTATTCATGGCATCTTATATAGGTTGCAATGGACCATGAAATCACTCGGTTAAATTTTGTTGAAATACTACAAACTTACCAGTCCATTCATTGCTCTTTGTGAAATCAATTCCAAGGATCAGATTTGATGATTCTAAACCTTCTTTCCTCAAGGCCGCTGTAACCTGTATAAGGAAAAAAGTACAATGAAAAATTCAAGAAATGCACATTGCCAATAGATTACAATATATTGATTACTACTATGTTTAGAACTCCGATTTGCTTAGTGGGGGAAAAAATATCAGAGTTCATCTAGCCGTGATTGGAAGAATCATTGTCATTGTAAGGAATGTTCCAATAGGAGATGATTATTGATATGGATACACAATGTTTTTCTCTTCTTCTTTTTCCCTCTTAGTTGAACTTTTACATAGTTCCCAAACACAAGTCTTCTTCTATCCAAACACTTTCAAGATATGCTTCAACTAAGATTATTAGGAGGAATCTAAATGCTTTATTACACAGGTTTAAAGCCTAATAGGCCTTTAGGCGTTTTTTGAAAATAGTATCTAAAAATGTATACAAATTACTTATTAGTTATTTGTTAAAGAGATATAATATAAGACAACACAAGATTGAACCCAAAAAAAAAAAAAGTCTGTGTTATATTCACACTTCAAGGTCAAAAGATTCTTGTGTGAGGGGATGTGTTAAAAATATATAATATAAAAATTCATTGATCGGTCTTCACTTAATGACTTGAGCTTTTAGGTTAGATGGTTGTTTTACATGGTGTTGTCACGAGTTCGATCATAGTCGCTTCCTTAAATATTGTGGAGTTTCTTAGCACAGATCCACCCGTCAAGTCCAATGAACTCTTGTATAAGGGGCTTGTTAAAGAAATATAAAAATTATTAAAAACCTTCACTCTACACCTTAAGATTTTAAATAAAATTGTTATTTGTTATTAAAGACAGTAGGTGATATTATATCACTAATAGATTTGAACCCATGTATAGAGCAGAGGAGGTAGATGATCAGAATTATCACTGTGCAATTATAAATAAAATAAGAACAGATTTACTTGTCAAATGATGAAACAGACATAATGATTTAACATAAGAGGAATTAAAATCCGAGCCCACAGAACATGTCTCCTTAAGACAATTTGCCCCCTCACAGATGCCAAAGGTTGATGGACACTTGTCTCCCAGGATAGAACGGATTTCGTCTGAAGAATGGTGGCACTACCAATCAACAGCCCAAACGAACACAACAATTGCAAGAGGAAGAGAAGAAAAAAACCGGCAGAGTTTCAGTGCAGAAAAAACCGATAAATTTCTGAAGGTGTCAGTGTCTATTTATAGACACTGACCGGTCACGATGAACAGTCGTCGGCGGCGAACCGCCGTGTCTGACGGTGGCGAACAGTGACCGTTCCGACGAACAGGTACAACCGGTGACTGGTTCGGGGAGCAGACACAACCGATGACCGGTTCACGAAAGGGAAGAACTGGTTTGGTTCAAAATTGCTCAAAAAATCGGCGGGTAGAGACGTTTGGGTTCGAAATTTGGAGGGAAGCAACGAATAAATTTTTGGACAAAATATTAAAAAATTATTTTTATTACACACATCCGAACCGATCCGAGCCGGCGCGTGGTGAACCCAAGCCCACCTAGCTCCTCCCCCTCCACAAAATGTGTAGTGACCCAAAGGGCCAATCTAGGAGAGTGAGGTGGGAGTTTATAAACTCTCTCACTTCCTACTATTTGTCCAATGTGGGACTTTGTTAAAAACTCACACACCTCTTCAACTTCCCTCTTCTCTTTCCTTTATTAACCCACTTCTTTTTCATAACCAATAGATCATTATTTATTAATTGCAACATTATTTACATAACTTAACATAAGTGTAGGTCCCACAATCCGTATCTCTATAACATAACTTAACAACTTTTCTACAATATTGTTATTCTTTTTCCCTATTTGGGAAAACACTTTCTCCTTTAATAGGAGAATTGTTTTCTCATGTTAGTTAGAGATCGTTTTGCAAGTAATATTTTTTTTTATTTTTTATTTTTTGTTTATTGTAGGACCCATTTGAAATATGTATGTGTAAGAATTTTTTTAACCTTATGTTAAATGAGAAATGCAAAGCTCATTAATGAATAGGCAATGATTATCTATTAACGAATAAAACAATTCTTATAAGTTTGACTTGATTGACCTCGCCCGTACAAGAAATTTTTTTTGACCTCAGTTAAATTTATTTTGCCGAATTCGAAAATTTCCAATTGTTGTGATAATCTAAGCTAGCGTCAAATAATCAATCAAAGCTTAAAATTTTATAATTGTTAAAACCAAAAAAAAATTATTTACAATTAAAGTCACGTTCTTAACCTCAAATGTATTTTTTATTTGAATAAAAAAATATAACAATGCTGAGTTCATTGACAGACTCAACTACTTATATTACAGGATATATTTTTATTACCAAAAAATCATTATCAACCCATTATGTATCTAATTATTATTGAATCGGTATTTTCTATCTTTTCATAAATTTTTCAATATTTTTTCTCTTTCTGATCTACGTTGATTAGATAAATAATGAATTGGTAGTAATTTTTTTTTTTTGTAGTAAAAAATTCCAATTTATGTATGAACTAATTATGTCTTCGATGCAATTATCTCCTATTATTATGCTGTTCAATTCCATCTCCAATTTTGACTTATTGAATCATAATTTCAGTGTTCAGTTCGAATTTTAAAACATTGCTTAAATTGTCACATCATATACTCTTGTCACAAATATTACTCAAATAAACTAAGGGTTTTATAAGAGTTATGTTGCAGGAAAAATAATTGTGTTATGTTATAGAGATTAGTTTTGAGTGCCATGATTTTTTTCTTCTTCAAAACATGCGGGTCCCACAAAATGTTGTGTGTGTAGGAAATTTTGTGTGGTCATGTTAAATGATAAATGCAAACCCCATAAATTAATTATAATACATGTATATACAGATTAATTTATTTTATATTGAAAATAATTTACAACTAAAAACTGTGCAAAAAAATTTATCAAAATTAAATATGGAGTAGGTATTATTAAATGGGTTTTATATTTGTTTACCAAAAAAAAAAAAAAAAGAGTTTTATAAAAGTTATGTTATAAGAAAAGTGATTGTATAATGTTATAGAAATTTATTTTGCGTACCTTAGTTTTTTTTTTTAAAAAAGTACGAGTCCTACAAAATATCATGTGTATAAGAAATTTGTTGATGTCATGTTAAAGGACAAATTAAAACCTCTTATTAAATTGTCGCAAACAACAACCATGTAAGATGCTCTCGTGAAGCATGGGGCTAGACTTCCATATATTTATTATGAAACAAATTCCAAGAAGACAATTTTAGAGGGGGTTTGGTTGAAGGTTTCTTAGAAGTTAGCCATGCATTTTAATGTGTCATTTTTGGACTTCCTTGTTTGGTTGAAGTTTTAAAAAAATTTAGCTATGCTTCCATTTTGTCTAGTCATCTACTTTTGTGTGAAAAATTGGGGGAAAAAATACTGTTGAAAATACCTCTTCTAATATGGTATTTTCAAGTTGTCTAGGCTAATGGGAGAAAGAGGACACATGTGGATGCAAAAATACCCTCTTCTTTTAGACAATAATGTTTGCTACAAGGGTTATTTTGTAATTTGAAGTTATTTCTCTATCTATATTTTACCTCAAACTAAACATAAATTTTATAAATCTTACCTAATTTGTCCGGTAAATTCTTTTTTAACCAAATAATTTTTTTTACATTTTCCTACCAAACTGACTTCCAACCATTTTTTTATCAATTATATTTCTTTAGTATTCAAAAAATTTCTCCTCAATCAAATGTCGAGGTGGAAAATGACGAGTGACATTATGCATAAAAAAAAAAAAGGAAAATGACGAGTGACATTTGAACGGAAATATTTAAATGACTACTGACCTAGAACATTCCTAACACATTGGGAAATGCTGCAACTACACGCTATAAGTGCTCGACTTTATGTTACTTGAATCATCGAGATTTATTTTTCCCCTAAAAAGTAAGTTTAACTGAGGTTAGATATTTTTATTCTATTATAATTAAGATGGATTCCTCAATCTTTTTGAGAATTTCTGTAAAGCAGTAAAATTTATTTATAAATCATTACCAAATTTTTTTATTTTTTTATTTATAGATTGCATTACTAACAAGATCCTCAAATAAATCGGTGTCAATTGAACTCACGCTTTTGTGATCCTTTATGAAGCATGAACTCAATCTTTAGTCAACTGTGTCCGTCTTTCTTGGCTGATTGAGTGTTCTTTTTAGATACTTGTATTTTTGTTTTATCCAATTAAATCCATTAATCCAGTTCGAATGCAATTAAATTTATATTAGGGAAGATTCTTTTGATATTACTTTCTATATTTTTAAGACACAAACGAAATCTCTAATTAACATTAAAGGAATTTAACCTTGCAATTGCTCTTGGGTGTTAGTTTTTCTGTCTTGTTATCCTTACTTGGGTTTTAAATTAGGGAAATACTACTATCATTTTACATGAGATAGTTATCTCATTTTCTCTCTCTTCGAAAATTGCACCCCTTCTTTTTTTCTTTTTCTTTTTTGTTTTTTAATATTGAGCTTCACTTAAACTCTCTCTATAACATGAGAGAACTACTCTCATGTAACATAAGACTGATATTACCCTTTAAATTAATGTTCTTAGTAAACACATGAATAGAAATTTTTAAAATTGTATATATATTACCAGCGAAGTTTTAAAAATCAGAATATGGGAGACAAAATACAAAATCCATATACCAAAAAAGAGTTAACTATCTTACCAAAACATATGCAAATCCCATTATATGCACACTTTGAACATAAAAAACAAAGTTAAAAAAAGAAATCTCAAAGAGAATGAGCCAACAAGAGTAGGAGAAGTAAAGGGAAACTCATACATACATATTCTTAATTTGTTAATGAAAGGAAGAGAAGCATACCTGTTCAAGGGTAGTGAAGTTATCAACAATCAAAGCATACTTCTTGGCAGGTTGCTTTGTTTTTTCCCTGACTGCTGAGCTCTGTCCTGAATTATGTGTCCTAAAACTTGGTTTCTTAGACATAGATTGCGCTCGTGCTAGTGGCGGTGGCGGCGGTGGTTGTGACCGTGGTGGTGGATATGGCGGTAGCAGATGATGATGATGATGTTCCTGATGAGTTGGGATTTGGGATGATACACTACTTGTGGTGGAGGAGATTCTTCTGGAATTTTGATTGTCACGCTTTTTATTTTTACCAAAGAGGTTGCCCATGGCATCTTCAACTAGGTTGTCCAAAATTGAAAGAGATATATCTGTGACTTTATAGTTAGAAAAAAAAAAATGTAATGTGAAAGGAAATGCAAAAGAAGGTGCAAGGGTGGTTCCTAGAAAATCATGTGAAAAAAAAAAAAAAGTGATGGATATGAAAGGAATAAAGAAAAATAACCTGTATGGGATCAGGTTCGTTCTAGGCACTTTATTTTGCTTGCCAGGTTTGTATAAAATGTATTCTTCACTTGGCTTAATCCAAAGGCTGAAGAACCAAATGCTAAAACGAAAGTAACCTTTCAGCTGGAGTTTAAGCTTTATTTATATATAAAGCCTTGCTTGTGAGAGGCTGAAACGCATAAAATACAAATAGGGGCCTCATTGGGGCACACAATCGGATAAAGAGAATAAAATAAGAGAGAAGGATAAAAATAGGAAAGTACATCAGTTTGATAAAGCATGTTTTTTATTTTGTATTTCATGTGTACTATAAAAGCAATTTGATATAATAATACTATCTTAATTATTGTTTAAGGTAAAACAGGGATATCATATAAGTGGATAAGAATATTCTTTATAACAAAAATTTATAAAATATTTGTTACAAAATAATTTTAAAACATCTATTTTTATTTTATATATTAATTTTTATTTTATATATTAATTTTTATTTTATATTATTAAAATTTTAAAAGTCATAATTTTAACAAAAAACGTTAATAACATGAATTATTAATAAAAAAATAAAAGTAATATTTTAAAAATAATGTGTAACAATATAAAATAAAGTAATATAATGTGTAAGTAAAGTATCGTCTCCACAGGGAGTGTAAACCAAGTACTACAATAACCAGTCCCCTTAAGTTGAAAAACTCGGGTTGTTGTTTGGAAAATTGTGAATTGAATTTGAGTAACAATATAAAATAAAGACTCGTTTTTATATTTTTATGTAAGAGAAATAAAACAATGACAATGAGAATTGATTTGTAAAAAATATGAGAAAGGTATTGTAGCTAGAGTGCACTCACCTTATGATCCCCACTTCTTACTTTGGATTGATTTACAACATTAATTTATAAAATTACTCGGATAAATTATCATCTAAAATAATTAGTTAAATCTCAATCCCTTGGCAATTTAACCCTTTAATCCCCAATTGGAATCATAATCCCTTAGCAATCCCTCATGAAAATTAAGCGATGAACTCTATAATTTAGGCATCCACAATTCAATACACATCTATTCCTAGCATGCATATGAACCGTTATCCTACCCCCTTTCAGGATGAAAACCCCAATATCCCTATCTAGGGTTCTAACCCTCAGACTATTATCAACTATTAGAGTGATCAATTCTAATAAAGAAAATATCAAATACGAACAAGGTAGAGATAAAGATAATTATATAAACGAACAATTATAAATCAATCCGCGTAACAAGGGTTCACATAGGGTTTGTGACCCTTACTACAATAAAAGAAAACTAGCCAAGCATAATCATGGCTAAAAATAATTCAATATTCAAAAGCATAAAATTTAAGGAGAAAAGAGAAGAAGAACTTTGATCTCAGGAATCCTCTCGGAGCTCTGCCGTCGTCTCTCTCTGAAGAAATAGGTCTGAATCCCTAATTCTGTCAAAAGGATCCTATTTATAATCCTTTTTTCCTTCTTCCAAAAATACCCTTCGCGCAACACAGTACTTCTTTCCGCAAACCGGCGCCATTTGGCGCCGGTTAGCGCCAACTTCCTGCCCAATGTATGCTGCAATTCAGAATTCCCGTGACTCGGTGCCAGTTGGCGCCATCCTTCACATTTTGGGCGCTAGTTTGCTTCACTTTGGTGGCGCCACTTCTCTTCAGTTGGCGCAAGGTGGCATGGTGGCGCTAGTTTGCGCCATTCTGGCGCCAACTAGCGCCAATTCTCTGGTATTTGTAGTGTGATACATCCGTGCGTGTGGAGTCGCGTCAATAGGCTTTTTATAATGTGTAATTTTCACTCCTCTTTTTCCTGTAAAAACACAACCAAAAGGTGAATACTATTGACATAGAAAGAATCAATATAAATAGCAAATATGTATTTAAATTGCTCTCTTATGACCCAATTCTTATCAATTTTAACATGGAAAAACCACACTTGCCAGAGGCACTTCAAATCATTCCCAGATTTAAACGTTGCTGTCCCCAGCAATGTACAAGACTCAATCTAGGAAACAATCAATTATTCCAACACAACATTACACAGACAATCAAGAGATCATTATGCTAAGCATGACTGAATCAATGCAAAGAACTTCTAACAATGCCTTCTATTCTCATGAACATGTCAGAATCTAGCTTGAACACCCCTCACCAAGATAATCATATAACACTCAGCACTCAAGTGTTTAAGGGAGTAACAATCACTCAATCCATCACAGCAATAACATTACCATAAGCTTGATCATATTCTCAAGTTCCTAAAGATGAGGAACATTAACACATGCATAATTGATCAAAAGGACTTCACAGGTTGTAACTTGGCCAGGCTTAAGGGTAGGAATTTATAGTTAGTATCTCAAATAACAATGAGATTGAAAAACTGGTATTATTTCATTTTTAACACCTTCAACTCAATGATTTTTGCTCCACTCAGATTCCCAAAGAATTTCGTGAATTAATTCCTATCAACCACTTTTTTTCTTTACATTCATCCTTTTCCTTTTTCTTGCTTTTTCTTTTCTTTTTCTCCCTTTTGTTTTAAGAGAATATATGAAATTTTACCTCCCCTAATTACTTGACCTTTGTGGAGCTTACCTCAATTTCTTTGTTTAATTTTTCAACACATCATTAATTCAATCTCAATTAAGGTAAGTCACATGGATATAGGCTAAGCCATCAATCAAGAATTATGAACAAAAAGGCTCAGGCTCAAAGGGGTTAGCAATGGAAAAATTCATACAGGTGGTTATTTTTGGCCAATAGCTAACAAGAACAAAATGCCTTTATCATATCAACCAATGCATGCATCTCAGAGAAACAGAGCAAGTTCTAGAATGCTATAACAATAAGGTCTCTCAGAATAAAATAAGTGTTTAAGCACAAAACCTCACCAGCTATGATGTCAAGCTAGACTTCCAAAAGAAACATCAGCCATTATTAATCATTCAAACACAAAATTCAGACAAACGAGCAATCATGAAGTCTACTCATGCCCATACAATATCATGTCAGAAGTTCATACAAAACATGTTTCCTAGGATGAATCAGGCAAGTTAACTAGGGAAAGCATATCTAAACCTGGGACTTGCTCAGAAAACATGTTCAATTTATATATATATATATATATATATATATATATATATATATATATATATCACACAAAATAACTATAAAAATAACTAAAAAAATTAAAAGAGTTAGAGTATCTCCCCTGATAGAAGAATTGCAATTCTCAGGTGCAAGCCTGCCTACCATTCCCAGATTTAGAGAATTGTTGTCCTCAGCAATAATTAAACCACGAGAAAGAAGAAAAACCTGCACAATAGAACAAACAGTGGCATATAGAAGAAACTATAATACGCACATTAAAATATCAGAGAAAAATATACTAACACAAAGTAACTAAAGAAAAGAAATACGAAACAGAAAAATAAACTAATATACAAGTTCTCCATCAGCAAGGAGATATACTCAACCCTCCATGTCATCCCCTTCAGCAGCGTGGGATGACTCGGCAAATGAAGGATCTGGTGGTTCTGGATGCCTTGGTGTATGAGACCACCATTCCCAGATTTGGTCCAAACCAAGAAGCCATGTTAAGAACTCTTTGAAGCTTTGATGTTTCCGAGAGATAGAATCTCGGTATCTCTTGTCAAATTTAAGCTACCGAAGTCTCTTCCAACTCGTATCAAAGAGTTTCACCACTTCCTTTCTCAGTACCTTCTTCCGTATAGAATGACGCCTCCCTTGTGTTTTTCTCCCATGTTTGTCATCATCTTCATTGAGAATTTTGTTGGTATAGGAAAAAGGATCTTTATTTTTCAATTCAGTTTCCTCTTCCTTTAGTGCTTCAATCACTGCCTCCTTATTACCCAAGAAGACATTTTTTTGAGGTTGAGGAAGCTCCTTCAAATCCACCTTTATGGCACCATCTTCCTTGGCATCATCCGCTACACTTTGATTTTCCTTTACTTCAAGACTAAAACAATTATCTTTGTGAGAAGACTGTTTTAAAGAATCAAAGACGTTGATGGTAACGGTCTCATCATTCATCCTTAGCTCAAGCTTCCCGTTTTCAACATCAATCAGTGCCCGAGCAGTGGCCAAGAAAGGTCTACCCAGCAAAAGAGGCATCTCAGCTCCCCCTTCCATGTCCAACACTACAAAATCAGCAGGAAAGATGAACTTGTCTACCTTTACAAGAACATCTTCAATAATACCACTAGGCTTCCTCAAAGACTTATCAGCAAGTTGAAGAGATGCCAAAGTGGGCTTTAACTCGGTGATCCCCAAGGATTTACAAACAGAAAGGGGCATCAAATTAATGCTAGCCCCAAGATCGCATAATGCTCTGCCAATTTTTGTGTCCCCAATTTCAATAGAAATTTTGAAACTCCCTGGATCACTGAGTTTGGGTGGGAACTTCTTCTGTATGATGGCACTACACTCCTCAGTGAGTGTTACAGTTTGGCATTCCTGCAGCTTATGCTTTTTTGATAACAAGTCCTTCATGAACTTGGCATAATTAGGCATGCAAGCCAAGGCTTCAGCAAATGGAAGATTTATATGAAGCTTTTTGAATATATCAAGGAACCTGGCATACTGTTGCTTCTGAGCATCCTTCTTGAACCTTTCAGGATAGGGTGCCATGGCTCTCACATATTCAGGACTCAGCTCAAACTTCTTCTTTTCAACTGGCTTCTCCACTTCAACAGGTTTTTCAATTTCTTTTTCTTTTGCGAGCTCACCTACAGTATCTAGCTTCTTCTCAGCTCCCACATTTATGCTCGGCTTTTCTGGAGCAGCCACCGCTTTG